ATATATATATATATATATATATATAAAAGGAAGGACCTATTTATTTTAGGAGTAAGTTTTCCTAAACTTATTTTACTCAATAACTCATGTTTTACATTAAATTTCAACGATCCAACCGTTGAATTTAAAATTCTTAATATATAGATCAAGTCTGCAAATTTTTAAAAAATTTAAAAGTCATTTGTTTCATTAATTCAAATTGACAGATAATCATAAAATTATTTTACATGTTGATTTGAATTAATGAAATGAGATATCAAATGATTTTTAATTTTTTTAAATTTTTTTAGAATTGACCTATAGATTAAAAACTTTAAATTCAATAGTTGAATTGTTAAAATTTGATGTAAAATATAAGTTATTGATTAAAATAAGTCTAAATAGACTTACTCATAGAATAAACGGATCCATCATCATGTGTGTGTATATATATATATATATTTATGTTAGTTAAGTAGTCTCGTATAACTTAAGAGGGGGGTGAATTAAGTTATTTTATTTTTCTTCTCTTTTTCAGTTTTTAAAGATGCCTTCTAAAAATTTATTTACTTAAGCAAAATGTATGTAATGATATAAAAATTACTCAACCACAATTAAATAACAAGTAAGTAAAAGTGAAGGGAAGAAGAATTGCAAACTTGATTTTATACTAGTTCGGCCAAACTTGCCTACATCCAGTCCTCAAGTCTCCAACTTGAGATTTTCACTATTCTTGTAGTACTTACAAGACTTGAATCCTCCAACACCTTGGAATACCCTTTCCTAGTGTTGAGATTCAAAAACAACAAGGAGAACAACCCTTTCTCCTTCACAGATCCAATGATCAATTTGGAATTACAGAAGAACTCTCTTTAAAGAGTAGATATTACACCTTAAAGATCTTAATGAACTCTTACAATAATGCAAATGAATTTGGCCAAGAAGTTTTTGTAAATGACCTTTTCACACTAGAGTTCGTAACCTTCTTCTGAAAAATTATAGGTATTTATAGACAAGTATTTCTTAGGTTGTGTCTTTTCATGAAGAGTTGTAACTCTTTATAATTTTTCAGAAAAGATACTCTGGTAATCGATTACAAAATTTGGTAATCAATTACAACGGTTTTAAGTTCAAAAAATTTGAAACGTTGTATCTTTTAAATTCAAATTTTTTAAGTTCTCTCTTCTGGTAATCGATTACAAGGTCTAGTAATCGATTACCAGAACACATTTTGTATTCAAAATTTGAATTTGAAGTTTGCTTGCTCTGGTAATCGATTACATAAGCTGGTAATCGATTACCAAACAAATATTCTTATATTTGTTACACAAACTTTTGATTATAGGAAACTTCTAATTTTCAGTCAAAAATATTTTTGTAAAATCTTTTTGAACACTCTTTTTACCTTCTTTTTCAAAAACTTATTCTTATATTCAAAAAGACTAAATTTAGATTTTCTTGAAATCCTTATTTTAATGGCCAAGTGAAATTTGCAATTTCTAAAAGTTCATTTTACATATCAAGCTAAGTAGTCAAGACTTATCTAGATATTTCTTGAGATCTTGCTTCTTGATCAACTTGTTTTAACTTGACCTTTTATTTTTTTCAACGCTTTGACATCATCAAAATTTTATATATGTTCTTCTACAATAAATAAATAAATAAATATATATATATATATATCGTGGATGTATCTACTTCGGGAGAGAATAAATACATCTTTAAGTATGAATTCATTAATTAATGTATTAATGTGTTTATACATTATATATGTAACTATTAAAATAATTATTAATATAATGAGATGAAAAAATCAATATCTTTTATATGATGTATAGTGTTGGAGTTGAATATAGTGGGTACATTAAAATAATAAATTAAGGATAACTATACAAGTAAATATAATGTTAATTAGAGAAAACTTGGAAATAATTAAAAAATTATTTGATTTTTAAAAAGTAGTTATTAATATCTATAATTAAAGGTAAACATGTTTGTGAAGAAATAATAAATTTATTGAGAGATAAAAATAGTTTTTTTGGTAATTAATTAATTTAACAATATATTATCTAAAATAATTTATCTGTTTAATTAAAATTAATTTATTAATTAATATGAAATATGTTAAATTTGATATAATAATATATCTATTATTCATTACTGGAAAAAAAACAAATTAATCTATACATGATTTATCTATAAAGAGAATACTTTCTTTTGATTTCCACATTTTTTAGACATTTATATTCTTTAATTATATATTATTTTTTTCGTACCATTATGATGGGGACATTGAAGTTGATCAAGTTCAACACAATTACTTGGAGGGCCTATTACTAGAGCTAGGACCAAGAAGGTAGAAGAGTCCCTACAAGTGGTGGTAACAATTTTTGTAGCTTAGACATTTAAAAAAAAATTAATAGTTATAATAAAGTGTTTATGGCTAGTTTTGAGACTAAAACCTCAAGTTTTTTATAGGTCTCAATTAACCGCAAAGGTTTTTTTTTTAGCTTGTAATGTTGATAATTTATTTATCTTTTATTTACCTTTTAGTACGTGATCGAGAACTACTTTGTATAAGTCATTTGGATATGAATGAAAAGATAGATTTGAATGTTTATTTTTCTGAAGCGTAAAAATTGTCTCTGCTAAGGTTCTTCCTTGAACCGTTTGATCTTATTATGAATTCACTAAAATTCATATGGTGATCCTAAAGGCTTATCAAACATCAATTGTTTGTGGTGTCTATCAATTTCTTCCTCACTCATTTTCTGTTTTCTTGTTATTTTTCCACATTGCTAATTTTCAGAATTTATTCAAACTTTCTTATTTTCATATCTTCGATTTTACCAATCCTTTTTCAGTGATTTATATGTCTAAATTGCATTTCAGAATTTCATATTTAATCTTGTCGTGGAATCGTGCAATTTTAGAATTTGCAGCGTGAGATACGATTGAACCGAACGATATCGTTCAGTTTGTCTATAGATTCACATCATTTGGTATTAGAGCAAGGTTGGTCATAATTTTTTCTTTCAATTTCCTAGTGTCATTTTTTTCTTCAATTCTGTTCTATATTTCATTTCTGTTCTTGGTGTTCAACCCATGTTCATCATTGTTCAATAACTTTAATCTTATCAATCCATGTGATTTGGGCTAAGTTGTTGTTGGGTGTTAAATATATGCTCGTTTTATTGCCAATTTTTATCTAGTTTCATTCTCAATTGTTGCAACTTCAATGCTTCATTCCAAAATTACATATTTTCATTATTATAAGCAATTTTAAGTAATTTTTTTTTAAAATTTGCAACAAGAGAAGTTAAAAAAAATCTACAACAAAAGAAATTAAAAAATGTACAACAACTGTATTCTAAATTTAGTGCATCCCACTTGTTTGATAAAATTCCTAAGTGTCAAGTGTCTTCTCACTCATTGTTTTTCCACAAAGTTAATGTTTTCCTTGCTTGTTTGTTAGTAGTAGAATTGTTCTTTACTACTTCCTTGTTTGTTGGTGCTAATCTATTTCAGTCCTGTGATCACTACCCTTAAAAGTGATTCTTGGTTATAGATTGTTTGATTCAAGTAAGAACTTTAAGTGAGGGAAATAGTGGTAAAAGGCAAGAGTGAAACATTAGAGAAAAAGCCATAAAAGAGAGAACTATACACGAGTGGTACATCTTTAAGTATAAACACATGAGAAGAATGGTGAGGTCCTATATATTACTTCATATTTTGGTTCTTTTCTTGAAATATAGCAGGTGCAGGTGGTGATTTTACCCCTCCTTGTAACGTAGTAAGTTAATTCAGAGGTTTAGTTGAGGCTAGAGAGAAGAGTATATAAGATTTTCTCTGAGAAGGGAGCCTCATAAGCTCATTCTCAAAGAAAATCTTAGAGAGGAGTTTTAGAGAGAAGGACTCTAGGTTCGTGAGTTCCTTTCTCTCCCAAATTTCTCTGTTTGATTCTTCTTCTTCTCTAGATCACTAACTCCTTCTGTATTTTCTTGAAATTCAGGCTAGGAGGCTTGCTTTTGGAGGATTGAAGTCAACGGGTTGAGCTTCGGAAGGAAATTCTACTTCTTCTCAATTCTTGGCTATTGGCTTCAGATGAGGGAAGCTATAATGTAGGTTGTTTGGTTGCATGTGAGTTTAGAAACTCAATTGATGCATGGATTTTAAGAATTAAAGGGTGGAATTGAAGAACTTCTCATTTTTCGTGGTTTTGGGAAAAATTAGG